AGGAAGTGCAGGACACCTTTGTGTTGGGATGAGGTTGGTGAGGCCAAACTCGAAGGGATAGAACTCGTTGAGATCACCAAGACTAAGGTGAAGATCATTCGTGATAGACTCATGGCTGCCCAAGACCGGCAGAAGAGCTATGCAGACAAATGGCGGAGGCCGTTGGAATTTGAGGTCGGGGATGAAGTCTTTCTAAGGATCTCTCCTTGGAAAGGCATCATCCGATTCATATCAAGGGGTAAGCTTAACCCCCGATACATTGGTCCGTTTCAAATCCTTGAGAGGGTTGGAGCCGTAGCGTATCGTCTCAAGTTGACCCCTGAACTTGAGAAGATTCATGATGTATTTCATGTATCGATGCTCAAGAAGTATGTGCGGGATCCATCACATATTCTTGAGAAACCACCGGTGGAGATCCGGGAGGACCTGCAATATGCTGTAGAACCAGTGAAGATTGTGGGCCAACAGGTGAAGAAACTTAGGAACAAGGAGATTCCTATGGTGAAGGTTCTGTGGAGGAGTGATCGAGTCGAAGAAGAAACCTGGGAGACTGAGGTCTCAATGAGGGAGCAATACCCGTTTCTTTTCGATTAGACACGTTGATTTCGGGGACGAAATCCCAAATAAGGGGGGGTGAACTTGTAACACCGTCCCCAAGTATATTTACCTTTGTGTAAATTATGTATTGAACCTTATGAAATGATTAATGAATTTACGAGGTTGTAAATTTTCGTTAATTCTTTTGCGTGAATAGTAAATTGCACGTGGGGCCCACACGGGAGCGGGGACCACCCGATATTCCCGAGACCGCATATTTTATTCATCTTGGTATAGATAATACTTATATAGTGGTGGACATTTACTTTGGGCCATAAGAAAGGCATTGGGTTGACCGATAGGTCAAACAAGGCCCAATTACCGGTTTTGGGAAATTTATCGGATAACAGTCCGAAATGAATTTCGGGGACTTCCAAATTAAAGTTGGGGAATGTATAATCATCCTAAAGGCCCATTATGATGGGGAGTAAGTGTTATATTTTATTCGACCCAATAAAATAAAATATAATTAAAACAGTCCGAGAAATACAACTTTCGGGACCGATTGTACACTTCTGGACAAAAAGGGGTGACCTCCCACATAAGTGGGGGCCAACCCACGAATTTTCCATCTCTTGGAGGATGGTTTGAGAGCAAATGTGGCTGAAAGCCATTGAGAGGATGGGAGAGACCATTTTGACACCTAATGGACCCATAACCTCAACCAATTGCCAACCAAAGACAAAAACACCATCCTCCCTCCTCTCCCACTCATTGTACTCGCCCAACACCAAGGAAAGAAGGAGAAGGAGCTCTGAACCCTCACCTTCCATAGCCAACTCGAGCTCAAGCTCCAACAAGAAAAAGGGAGGAGTTTAGGAGAGGAAAAAGGGAAGAAAAAGTGTGGTGATTAAGGTAATGACTTCGTACTAGTTGTTCCTCTATTCTTTAACTACCATATGACTTACATAGCATGTAAGGAACCCTTTTAGTATCTCTGCATATTTATAAATGTAGAAATAAGGGTTGAAAGGTGGTTCTATGTCCAAGAACGGACTTAGGAGCCAAAACGACCGGTTAGCCGGAAAATAACCTTTTAAAGGTTATTCGTAATGATATGGGTTTTGTGATGATAAAACCTTGTTAGGCACTTGTCAAGGGTGATTTAAGAGCCTTCACGAAGTTTAAGAGTCGCCGGAGTTATCGCCGGAGTTCGTCAAAGTTCGCCGGAGTTTGGCCGGAGTTCAACCGAGAAGGGTAGAACTTCATCACGCTCATTCAAGGTGAGTGGACGGCTTAATGTCTTATAACTCTTGGGTTAATTATGAGATTACCTAAGTAAATGTTATATGTGTTCATAATGATGTTTAAAAGATGCTTAAACATGTGATTATCCAAAGTGATAGGACTTATATGTATGATCCATTGATATCATAAATGAAGTATGATATGAAAATGTTTATAAAAACATATATGATGTTTTAAGGGATAAAAGGGGCATAAAATGCTTGGTTATAACTTAATACACGTTGGGATTAAGTTTGACATAAATCGGGTTTGAAATGGCGAGTCAACGAAAATGTTGACTTGGTTGCCCAGGGGGTAACCGGCGCCGGTTATAGGCAAAACCGGCGCCGGTTATAGATCGGCATGGCCGGTTATATTAAATTAATTGATAACCGGCGCCGGTTATGTCAAAACCGGCGCCGGTTTGGCACTGTTTTGCCTATATGTTGATTTTTAATGCATGAATTGCATGGATGATTATGCTTAGGCCTTAAGACTTGGTTTAGTCTTGATTATTGATTATGATATAGACCTTATCTAGGATGATATGTGGTAGATCATAAGTCGGGTGGAGTACCCAAGGATCGGGCGGTATCCTCAAAACTCGGTTATAGGGTGGAGTACCCAAGGATCGGGCGGTATCCTCAAAACTCGGTTATAGGGTGGAGTACCCAAGGATCGGGCGGTATCCTCAAAACTCGGTTATAGGGTGGAGTACCCAAGGATCGGGCGGTATCCTCAAAACTCGGTTATAGGGTGGAGTACCCAAGGATCGGGCGTGTATCCTCAAAACTCATAGATTATTATTTTGTAATTTGGGACCGGGCGGTGTCCTCATGTTAAGATGATTTGAACCAGGAGGAGTTCTATACACTCATAGGTATATGGGTGGGTTGGGGTTTAAGCCAAGGTTAACGGCTATATTATTTCCCAAATAAACAATGACCTAAGGGTCGGGTATTTCCAAGTGTATATATAATGATATATATTTCATAACTTGGGGGAAAGAGCTATATGTATATGTATCACCCTATGTTTGGGTCTTATACTTGAAACGTTAGTTATTCTACATTTAGCCTGCTACTCGCTCGGTACTTGTACTGACCCCTTCGGGGGGCCCCACCATTTCAGGTTGAAGCTCAAGCTTGCATTCTCACCTTGCTCGGTGAAGTGATCTAAAGGGAGACGTGGTTCGTGCTTCCTTTACTATTTTAAACTATAAACTATGCTCATGGATAATTTGTAATAAGTACATTTGTTTTGGGCCTGCGAGTCCACGTTTTGGCCATATGTGGCCCATGATTGAATATTGAATATTTCCGCGATTCGTTCAATCCAAATATGCGATGTTGTTATGTATGTTTACTTACTGAGTATGGTATGAACAGATGTTCATGGACGCCTTGTATGATTAAGTCACGTTGACTTGCGGGTGACGTCATTTAGTCATACGGCGGTTGTACACGCGCTTGGATGCGGTCCGGGGCGTGACATGCTGGGGATATGAGATGGCATAAAAGTCACCATAGAGAAGAAGGAGTGATACGGCATCCATCAGATGGGAAGGCATGGATTCATTTTGACAATCTTTATCCATCTTTTGCCGAGGACCCTAGAAATGTTAGACTCGGTCTATGCTCAGATGGGTTTCAACCATTCGGGCAATTTGGACAGAAGTATTCATGTTGGCCTATTATCGTGACACCATACAACTTGCCTCCAGGTATATGTATGAAAAAACAATTCCTGTTCTTATCCATATTGATTCCAGGACCAAAGAATCCCACAAATAGGATAGATGTTTATTTGCAACCTTTGATAGAAGAATTGAAGCAATTATGGGAGGTTGGGACTGTAACGTATGATGCACTTTCAAAGGATCACTTTAATATGCGAGCTTCTTTGCTTTGGACAATTAGTGATTTTCCAGCATATGCCATGCTCTCTGGATGGAGTACGAAGGGGAAATTTGCATGTCCGTGTTGTACTGAATTTACAGAAGCATTCTGGTTACCCCGCAGCAAGAAACATAGTTGGTTTGATAACCACCGAAAGTTCCTGGCAGAAGATCATCCATTTCGATGGGACACCGAGAACTTCACTAAGGGTAAAACAGCCATGCATGGCCCTCCATTATATAGAGATGGTTTATATTGTTATGGTGAGATGGATGCCCTAATGTTTGTGACCGAATTAGGCAGTTTGGAACACAACAAAGTGGTTGGAAAGGATATTGGGTGGAAGAAACGTAGAATCTTTTGGGATCTCCCATATTGGAAGGATTTGCTTCTACGCCACAATCTTGATGTAATGCACATAGAGAAGAATTTCTTTGAGAACATATTTTACACAATTATGGGTGTGCCAGGGAACTCAAAGGACCATACACGAGGGAGAATGGATATGGAACAGATTTGTCATAGACCAAGTATGGAGATGGACCGTGATGGAAAATATCCCAAGGCTCCTTTCACGCTTTCAAACAAGCAAAGAGAAGTTTTGTGTAGTTGCGTTGATTCACTTAAGTTCCCCGATGGATTAGCATCTCGATTAGGGCGTTGTGTAGAAATGGAGAACCTTAAGGTATTCGGTATGAAAAGTCACGATTGTCACGTTTTTATGCAACGTTTACTTCCAATTGCATTGAGAGAAATGCTACCTGCTTGTATTTGGGAGGCAATTATTGAGATTAGTTTATTCTTTCGTGAGTTAACAAGAAAGACTGCACGAGTTTCGGTCATTGAAAAGTTAAAGGATGATATTCCTATCATTTTATGTAAATTGGAGAAGATTTTTCCACCCTCTTTTTTTGACCCCACAGAGCATCTTCCCATACATTTGCCGGACGAAGTTTTGCTAGGAGCACCACCGCAATATCGATGGATGTATCGCTTCGAAAAGTTAGTGTTTAACTGTTTATACTTTTAGTTTTTTGCATAATATATTATTGTGTTATTGATACTCTTAATCTTAATTGTTCATATTTAACCAGTTTTTTAGGGTCAGTGTTAAAGAAAAAGATCGGCAACAAGGCTAAAGTTGAAGGGTCGGTTAGAGAGGGTTATTTGCTAAGTGAAATGGGTACATTTGCGAGCTACTACTTCCCGGAGGAAGTCACCACAAAAGCACGTGGTGTCCCGAGATTTGATGACAGTTTTATGATTAATGATGATGTCGCTGCTTCCATTTTTGCACAAAAGGCAAAAGCAATTGGTGCAAGCACACGTCGATACATGGACCAAAACGAATCCAATGCAGTGCATTCCTATGTACTACAAAATTGCCTAGAGATCGACTCATTCCGAGAGTAAGCCATATTTAACCAATTATTGATTTCTTTAACTCAAATTATAGCAGTTCTAGTCTAATACTGTAGCCATTTTATTGCAGATTGTTCACGAATGCAACCGGATTAACAACCTCCGATGAACTTCAATTTCAAGCACAATTTCCGCTCTGGTTTTATCACTATGTGAGAGTTTAAGGTTTAGAATTTATTGTATTTAGTTAATATACAAAATTTTGTTTTGGAAATATAGTTCTTGCTAACATTTATTAAGCATATGTATTTACTTTAGGTGCGTAATGACACTATAGATCACCCACAATGGAAGTGGGTACCCCAGAAGACAAAGGATTTATATTGGGATCAATTCCAGGTTTGATCATTTGAGTTATAACCATATTTTTTCCTTTCAAATATCAATTACAGATCTATTCTTTATGCTTTTAATTGTAAGCTTTATTCAAGTAATTGAAGTTTAAGTTGTATTTAACTTTAAAAAACTGTAACTAATTGTCTTTGACATATAAGATTTGCAAGTTTTCTGGATTATTTATTTTTATAATGATAAATAAAAGTCCATAAAGGTATGCAATTTATCATTAAATGCATATCATTTTGATACTAATTTATTAACTATTATTATTATATAAATATTGTATAAGTAAAAGTAAAAGTAACTTGTACTTTTAAACTCTCAATTTTGAGTACTAATATAATTATCTTTGACATATAGGATTTAGTAAACTGGGATATATCCAAGTTCAATGGTGAAGACATCAGGAAGGGTTACGAAAATTATCTTAAGCAACGTGCTTATTCGAATATAATGTCTAAAATCAGGTGAAACAATAAGTACTATTTCGTTTTATATTTCAATTTAACTTTCTATAAAAAGTGTATATTTTAAATGTTCATATAACACTTTTGAATATTCAAGGGAGCGCCGGCCTTTAACTGTGAATGACTTCACTTGGGGAGTTGTGGAAGAGTTTCGTGGGTCTGCGACATTTCAAAGATTGTCCGAGTCAGAGAAAAAGAATCGGATTGCCGGTGGAGATAGATGCAAACAGTACGGAGGGTCTCGTTCTGCGGCGGATTTGGCTGAACAAGAGGTTTATTTCTAGAATTTATAATCTGTTTTTTTATTGTATTTTCTTCACTGATTTCAAAATCAACTATTATTTTTGTAGTCAAGTGTTTCAGGAGAGGAAGTTAACCCTCTCAAAATTTGTGTAACTTATCATCCAAGAAAGAGAAAGAACGGAGAAGTAATTGACTACGGCTCACAATCAGAAGTTATGGTGTGTTATTGTTTCTCTATTCTAAGTTATTTTGATCTGCTGAGTATATTTTGAATTTTCAAAATTATTCCGGAAGTTATTTTCTCTCTGCTGCTTTCACCAAATTATAACATGTGCTTTGTTTTGTATTGCAAACGTCCCCCATGATTTGGGATTGTAATTCGATCTCTTCTATATTATGAAATGTAATTTTCCAGAAGCTCAAGTCTTTATTCTATGTGTTTGGATTAAATTGTTGCTGTTTTCAGAGATCTCCAACTATGAACTGAACTGTTTTACTATCAACACTTATATTGCTTAAAACTGATTTTACAAAAGCTCAAGTTCTTAAGTTGTTTATGGTTTTGAGCATGTTTCTAGTTCTTATGTTGTTTATGGTTTTTGAGCATGTTTTTTTACAGATAATGAAGCTACAAGTTATTCTTGATTTTGAAATGTCATTTTGCAGAAAATCAAGTTCCTATTCTTTGCATTTGGGATTACTTTTTGCTGTTTGAAGGAAACTTCTAGTATAAACTGAACTTTTTTACTATTAGCACTTATATTGCTTATAAAACAAAGCTCAATTCCTTGTGTCGTTTGAAGTTTTTGAGCATGTTTTTATAGTAATTAAATCAATCCACGAGTTATTCTGAATTTTGAAATTTGATGTTTTAGAAGTTCAAATCCTTAGAGAAGCTCCTAGTATGAGCGGAACTGTTTTACCATTAATACTTGTGTATTGCTTAATACTTATATTCCCTCTTTATATGCATCGAATTGTATTAATCTTTTTATCAAATTGCTTAAATGTTATAAGAGTTTGTTTGCTGCAAAATATATTTTTGTCAACAGGAGGCTATTTTTGATGAATTTAATGAGAACATTCAACAAGCTAAACAATCTGAAACTGAAAATGGGGGCTCCAAGACTGCATCTAAAGCTGCAGTTGCTGAATTGAATTCCAAGTATTTGGAAATTGCTGGGGTAAAAACAAAAAAGTATTTGGATTAGGAAAGTATGCAAAAGCTTTCCTTCAAAAATTGGAATCAAAATACCGAAAAGCTTCAGCATCTTTACAGCGTGCACATGAATTTTGGGTCTATTGGGATGAACACATGCGGAAGTGGTTATCTTCACAAGGCGAGGAATGCCCATCGGTAATGCCACTCGTGGATGAAAGCTTGCTAGATGAAGATCCTTGTTCACAGCCAAAAGCTTTTGAGCAAACATGGCTTCCATTTCTGAAAACACTTGGAATGGATGCACCAAGTTTTTTCCAGTTTACTCCATCATCCTCTCCACATTCTCAAAGCACTTAGTATTTGTTATTTCCAATTATATATCCAAGTAGTATCCATGTTAAGAATTTGTTTGTATTTCTGGATTGTAGTATGGCTTTACTTATGATACTCACAATGACTATGAATGTTGGTGGTTAAAGTATGTTTACTTTAAAAGTTAAGTTTTTTGGCTACATACCCATATATATTTAATTATGCACTTTGTACATTATTGTGATACAATCACATACGTCTGGAGTACTCTGTTATTTTTTAAAAAATTAATGGCATATAAATATAAAACTGGAGCAAACTGAATGTCTTATTTTTATAAATATAATTAATTTAGTGACGATATTTAATGACGAAATATCTGTCACGATTAACAACGACGGAATCCGTAGCCGCGGAATTCTGCCTTTGATTTGCGACGGAAGCAAATTTCTGTCACTAAGGCATTTAGCCGCACGATTTCTGTGGCAGCATTTTCGTCACTAATATGCGTCGCTAATGTAGTTAATGACAGATTTATTGATAAACTTTCTGCCACTAAAAAACGAAAATTCTTGTAGTGTTACTAAAATATTATATTGTACTGTACATAGCAAAGACATCGAGTGTTTTAAGTAAAGGAACTCGAATAAACCTTTGTTACTATTTTAGAATACACAAAAGCTGATTTTTCAAATTGCTATTTAAATTAAACATTTCATTAGAGTCTTTTCATTTTAGTTTTATTAGCTAAAATTTTGTTTTATAACTGTATTTTGAGTTGTGTTAGGATGTTTTTACTTGGACGGTTTTGAGTCCCAGAACAAACCAGACCGACTTGAACAGACCAGACCAGACTTAAACAGACCACATCACGCCAGACTTGACTTCCGTAGTTATAAAATACATAGAAACCAGAGATTGACCAGACTAGACCAGACCAGTCCAAACTAAACTAGACCAGACCATACTTAAACATATCAGACCAGACCAAACTTAAACAGACCAGACTAAACCAAATCAACAAATTATAGTCCAAGTAAAAACATCCTTACTTGTGTTATTTGTCGCTATCTTGTGAAAACATCCAAGTAAACATACATAGAACATTTAACATAAGGAATTTATTAATTTGTTTTCACTCTCAAATTTTGATACACAGGATCATCACAAGAAGATCAATAAGACAGAGAAGTTGATGATTAGCATTTCCCTTCTAAAGCAGCATCATAATTCTTATATTTATCACATATTAATTTCCTATATGTTATGCAATACTCTTTGATGGCATCCATATCGTCAACGCAATCACCATCACGCTGAGTCAACGCATCCTTAATGCACTGGCGCATTGTCCGTACAAGGTTTTCACCGTAATCTCCTATCGGATAATTGTCGGCCACATCGGCTGCGTCTAATGAAATGCACGCAGATGCTAATAAAGGAATTATAGCAATGGCGGCAACCACAAATGCTATGCTAATGTGCTTTGAAATGCTCATAATTATCGTAATTAAGTATTTCTTTTTTCTTAATAGTGTTTCAATTTATTTTACCGTCTTGAGGGTTGAATTGTGAGAACTTATTTTTACTTATGCATATATGTTACGAATAAATAAAAGGTTAATTGAATTTGACCTGTTATAAGTAACTGAAGTATTTTAGTTACTTCTATTTTATCGAGAAAGTGAAGTCATTACGTATTAATTGTATTATAAATGTATTTTTTTAGACCCAATTATAAATGTATTATATAACTAACTGATTCAACAAATAATCTTTTCTGCATGGTTTCAAATGTGAGATAATTTTCCAATAATATGACAGCTTCTAGAACACAGAGTTTCAAAGATGTTAAAATTTACCACACAAGTCAGAATTTAACAGGTAACAGACGCACAAAAACATAGTTCGACCGACTCTTAATTAAATTAGTTGAGTTCACGAGTTTTTGTATAAAATAATTTATTTCTGTTGATTTTTTAGGTATATCATTCCTTAAACATATTAGGGAGAACATGGCCATTTTTTAGGGGTTCAATAGGTTATCCAGAATAGGGCCTCCGAATTGAAGGAGCCCCAGATTTTCAAAAATTCATTTGTATTATATAGTAATATTAAATATTATTACTAATCAGTAAAATACAATTAGCTAGTAAGGAAAACAATAATACAAATACATTTTTTTTAGTTGATCCTTTTACTCTTTTAGTTCTCTTTTAATGAGTAATTAACATTGATTTGAGTACAAGCATTTGGATTGATTTATTTTTTAAATTTTCTATATTCATGTGGGGCCCTGATTTTACATTTTAAACCGGGACCTCCAAATTCATTAGACGGCCCTGATGGAGAATGATAATGATGATGATGATTAATGATGCATTTTTCATAGGCGTAAAAGAGTAATGTTCAATCGAGGGCGGAACTTTGAAGATTTGTTTTAGGGTTGGGGTTATTTAGGGAGGGTACTCTTTGCTATAATTTGGGTTGGGTGCTTCTTAGTTTGTTCGTTTTTGTTTGCTTTACTTTTGTTTCATTTTTTTAATTTTCTTTTCTCTTCTTTCGCGGTTGTACTTTCTTCTATATTTTAATAAAACTTTTATTCTTGCTGAAAAAAAAAAAAAAAAGAAAAGACAAGTGAATACTCAGTGCCCGTTTGATCCTTATTTCCAACTTATCGGCTAACTTTTTTATTAACCATATAACTTTTGATTCATTTGTTGAATTGTACGTGTAATAATCAAAACAAGTAACCTTAGAGTCACATTTATAGCTTAATTGATTGAGTGATTGAAGTTATTTTAAAAGTCCATTTTAGCTATCTTAATATACTTTTTTCATTATTTTATTATTAAAATATATATTTTGAGTATAATTTTTCAATAATTCCGCAGATTTAGCAAATTCATGATCAATTTTAATTTTAACAGTTTCACTCAATTCAGCCAATTTCATTAGTGTTACAAAACAAGCTCTTGATTATTTGGGACATCTATTTAATGTTATTTATAGATTAACTGTTGGTAATTTATTGTGAAATGTTGTTCAATGTTCAATGCCACCTTTAATAACATTGGTAACAAAAACTAACCAGTGGGCGTAGCTCAACTGGTAGCAAGGGAGTGCCACAAGGGTTAGGTCTCGGGTTCGAATCCCGGCAACTGCGATGAGGGGTTACTATGCTGAAAAATGCATAGGGCTTCTGCAAGTATCGGGGACAGAGCCCCACTCTTTATCTGTCAGATTGTGATTATAGTCCAATTTACATCCTCTCATCGTGTCGTCCGGTCGGTGTTGGGGGCCCTCAGGGATGGGGTGTCATCCTTTTTTTTGGTAACAAAAACTAATAAAAAATCTCCACACTTAATTAAATGTGGCCTGGGCGTGTGGAGTTGTAATTATTGTGAATTTGTTGCGGGTCAATTCAAATTCAATGCATATGTCATCTTTTCTCCATGAAATATTAGTTTTTGTTTACTGCACTGGACACTAATTAATACATTACGTTATGTAAGCATTGAATTTAGAAGGTATTTTGAAGTTGTAAGGTGGATTATTGACATACCAATGTATTGGAATTATGTTTGATTGTATAATATTGACATGTTTGCAATGGAGTTGCTATCGTTGTTTTTCATATTTTCTGGAATATCATATCGCCAACTTTCGTTTTAATTTGATAGGTTCTTTTTTGAAGAAATCACCTATATTGATATTATTACAGGTTGCTACATTAAATAAAGAAAATTATACTAACGTCAACTACCTTCCACCAATTATAATTGTAAACCCTACAATTAGAAACCCCACAATTAGACATAGAAATGGTCACCGTGAAAGAGCAACACGAACGGCTAACCACGAAACAGGCTTGACATGCGGGTATCATTGGTCCTAAAGATCCGTGTACTTCTAATGACATAATAATAAACTAATTTTCCGTTAACCCCCGCAAACCTAACAACCCCGCAAACCTAACAACCCCGCAAACCTAACAATACCGACTTTAACAAAAAACCAAACAACAAAATAAAACACATAATTAAAGTAAGCCAAGGAAAAAGATAACCTCCGATTGGAGCTCCGCACAGTCCTGTTGGAACAACATCCTAACATATCACCAACTCCTCCATGTCAACTTCTCTTTCCCATAGTGATCCCAGTATAACTAGCTCTAGAATCACCGAAACAGGGGAAGGATCTATGCACGGGCTATGGTAGGCTGAAGCCTAGGACAATTTAGAATCAATTTTTTTAGTATCATTTTTTCATTTTTCACGTTTAGCTCACCCCTTTAATATTTAAACCCAGTATAATTTTATTCAGTTCAGGGCATCTCAAATTCCTGGATCAGCCACTACACCGAAAGAGATCAAATAGACTCGGTGAACAGATCTGATGCAAACATATCTTTGCATTTGCCATAGTCAAAGCCCTCATCCCAAGGAAATCTGATGCAAACTTTGAATGAAACATTCGTTGTAAATACCTTACGAGCCTCAATTGACATCCCTTTATCATCAAGTTGATCCTCAACAATCTCCCTCCCTCTCGAAGTTAACTTTTCTGTCGAGCTCTTCCCATTGCACATGATGACCAACTCCAGCCAGCCGGCCCTCGAAACACACACAATACCACTTGCAATCCCCTAGTTTTCTTAGCGAGATCCGACATCTTCGATGATCAGCCACCGCGAGAGCCGCCACATATGCATATGCTAACAGACCGGTCAAACTAATCAAAGCAATTAGTGGAAACCCAACAAAATCCATCTTAGTCGAAGAAATAACTAACCCAGCCATAGCATTGTGAACGTCCGCTGCAACCTATGCAAAAGCCAATTCTACGGTAGCCTGAAACTCCCAATCGGAAAGCTATAAAACAATAAAACATTATATAAAACATTATATAAGGCTCAGGGCTATAAAACAATAAAACATTATATAAAGTTCAGAGCTACTCCTCCTATTAGATTGTCTTTTTAGGATAGAATTTCAGGTCTTAACATGGTATCAGAGTCAATTCCGGTTGTGGTTTGACTGCTTGTTTAACACCCATGATTACGGGTAGATTGTTAAGGGTCTGTTTGGCCCATTTATACACTTTGGTATTGTCCAGTCCGATTCGGGTATTGTCCAGCCCGATTCAGGCTGATGAGACGTGTTAAAGTATTTGTCTCACAACGTGAGAAGATAACTCATGAGACACTGCACTTTCGTTGTAATTAATTAACCATTCTCTGAGGAGTTGTTTCAGACTAAAAATATTATTTTTCATGTTAAACATGTAGATACATACACACTTGAAATAAATTAATATATTTCATCCCTAAGGAAATGGAAATTTTAATTACTTTAACAAAAATATCTTTCATTTTCTCGGAGGATTAAAATTGTTACATTCACATTAAGAGCAATTTTGTAAAATTCTTGAATTCGCCAATATTATATGTCATGATTATTATTGTAAATATGAATAATACGTTAAATGAAATAAATATTGGGGCCATTTGTCTTTTGGCATTTAGTGGCCAAAACGTTAGAAATATCCTTTGTAAAAAAAATTGGCTTTTTTTGGCCAACACACTCATATCCAAACGGAGCCATTGATTGGAGGGTGAACATTTTGAATAAAGTAATAAATTAACTTTTTTTAAATTCAAGTGGAATTTTATAGTAGTCAACCAATATATTCTTATTTTATACTCCGTATGTATTAGATCATATCAAGCGGTCGCCTCCCTATTTTAGGGTTTAGAGACTCTCTGCTTTCGTCTTCGACGAAGTGCGGCTCCGGCAAAGAGAAGTAGAATGAAAGGGCTCGTGTGGCTGTTCCGATCGAGCAGGTGTGGTTCTCGTGAAATCTCGGGTTGTGGCAAGCAGTTGCTAATGAAAGTTTTTAAATGAAGGACATTATCACTTAGTATGACAATATGGTCATTGGTAAGGATGATGAGGAGTTGGTCTTCGATGATGATGTGGTTGGCGAGGATGTGGCGGACGAGCGGCGGGCTGATTTTTCGGTGATGGGCACCCTACTCACGTATCGGATGATAAAATTTCAGATTTTCAAAGGTCTTATGGTCTCTCTTTGGTGCCCCGGAAAAGGTGTTTCAATCAAAATGATCGGTGAAAAGAGGTATATTTACACATTTTACCATATTGTGGATATGAGACGTGTGTTAGAAAGCAGTATGTGGTTGTTTGAAAGGAATTTGTTGATTCTCAATTAAATTAGGCTAGGAGATATTCCCCTCAAGGTTAACCTAAATGAGACTGAATTATGGGTCCATGTGCATAATATCTCTTATGGTTTCATGAACATAGGTACTGCTAGGAGGATTGGTAATTTTATTGGAAAATTCTTTAGTTTTGATTAAAGTTGATTTGAAGGAAACTTGGAAGCTTATATGTGTATCAGGGTTTGTATGGAAGTTGGGAAACCTCTGAAGAAGGGAAGAACTCTTAGGAAAGGGGAGGTTGATCACTGGGTGGATTTCAAATATGAAAAGCTACCTAGCTTTTGATTTGTCTGCGTGGTTATTAGACATGCTGATAGGTTTTGCCCTTTGACATATGAGGGAGATAATAAGGTGTTGAAAAAATCTTATGGGGTGGAACTTAGAGCATGAGGGGGGGGGGGGGGGGGGGGGCTAGCACTTCAGGGGAAACAAAGTGGTTAGTGGGAGAGGGACCTTCAGGCACATGTATGGGATTGAAGCAACAGAATGATTTCCAGAGTAGAGATGGAGGAATGGGAGCAGGGTGACAGAGATCAATTGTTGTTACGACTGATCCAGGGAAGAGCACAATTGGGGAAGGGGGTTCAGTTAGTACCGAGGAGGTGTAGGGTGACCATAAGCGCGGGAGGCTATGGGAGGAGCAAGAATAGGAGGATCCAAGTGATGATAGCATGGCTCTAGACAAGTCAAAAAAATGGGGAGGCGACGGGTCCCGCACACCAAACCCACCGTGAATTCTAAAGAAGACTCATTATTGGTCTGAAGCATGGAAGGTTTTGGTGTTCTCGAGGATGGAGCAGAAGTTTTACTATACTGTCTTTATTGTTGATTTTTACCTTGATCAGGCTGTTTTTATTTTCACATTTTATTTCTCTTTTTGTAAGACTCTTGCATTATGAATGGGTGATGAGAGGCCTGCTTTAGCCGCCTTTGGCTCAGCTCATTTATGCCCATTATAGGATCAGCAAGTCATATTGTTTCTATGAAGCTGATTGACTCTAAGCCTTGTTCGGGTGATGACGGTTGGTTGTGGTTCTTTTGTCTGTATGCTCCGTATCTAAATGTTGCGATATCAATTAAGGATGTTTTCTTTTGGATTTTTTCAGTCTCCGACCAGACCAGATCAGATCACATCATGCTTTCATAGTTATAAAATACTCAGAGACCAGACGTTTGCTAGACTAGACTAGACCAGACCAGACCGGCAAATTTCAGTCCAAAAGAAAACATTAGTCTTCTTCTCTACAAAAAAGTGGGATATTATAGTAATTTCTACTTTTATATTTAGCTTGAAAAATTCGAATTGCCATGGGATTGGAACCAGAAATGGCGGTCCATCTAAGAAAAACCTGCGGCTTACTGTGTGCGATCTTGCTGATATTTGGATCGTGTGTGTCAGCGGTCTGCGGACACTCCAATGGGGATACCCAGGGACAGTGTAGCCATGGACACGACCACCATCACCATCACCGCAGCGGCCATGAATTCTCGCCGGCGGCCCAAGAGCATTCCCATGGACATGCTCACCACCACAACCACTACCATGAAAGCAGTGTTGATTCGGATGAAATGACGCTTCTTCCCGAAGAATTGGCCGAAGAGGAGGATCTGAAGCTATACGGTTTTGGGTCCCGCGATGAAGACCACCACCTTCATAATCACGACCACGAGCATGTAGAGTTTGAGCTCTCTGGACTTGGTAATTGAACTGATCTGTTTTTCTTATTTTTTATCATTGCTATTACTATTTGTTGCTTGAAGTTGTTTTCTTTATTGAAGCTATGCGGTCCTTTTTTTAGGGAAACTTGTTTTTGTCATTTTCATTACTTCAACCTACATTAGTTGCTCTAGACAATTTAGAAAAGGGGTAAGTAACTATCTAATGCCCCAGATGGATTGACTATGTCTACAATCGATACACAACATGCCAAAGGCAAGAATAGTCCATCTTCACCCACACAAAAAAGTCCATCTTCAGTCTTTACTCACTATTGCAAGGTATCATGTATGTAGTACCCACTATGTACAATGATAAGCATATTGTAGAAGTAGTATTCCAAAATACGCACCAGAGCTCAATGTACTTCAATAGAATCAATGTCAGTATGTCACATGAGGCTAAGATGGCCACATGGCCAAACCAAGTACAGTTTAAACTTGAAAGTAGTACGAACCACGTTTTCACTCAGCCGATCGCTCTAAGTAACAGAAACAAGAAACAAGCTCTCACAGCAACATGTAAAATGATGAAGGTGCCCCGAATAGGAGTATAAAACTCAAATTTGCAAATGTTCTCATTGGTTATGAGATCTCACTTGGTAATGTTGAAGTCAGTCTGTATAATATGGAGGAGAATTTTGATAGTAGACTTATTAACATAACTATTCTTCTATGGAATTACAAATATTAACATTAAACTAGAATGAGTCTCTGTTTTTAAGAGCTTAGGCTTTGGACTCCATTTCCAAATATGTTCGCATTTAAGTATGGACCTCTTCTGTGAAGTCTTTTTTGCGGGTTTCTTATTAAGCACTTCGTTTTAAACTTTGAAGTATGTTAGTGCTTGCATGTTTTCTCGTGCAAAAGTTTGTGCTTCCATGTTTTCTCGTGCAAGTATTCCAAAGGCAGAATAGTTCATATTATTTCAGTGTGCCTTAAGAAGTTTATGATTAGCAATCTTTGTATTGTAACCATATTACTCTAATATACCCCCTCATTTTTTTTGGATTTATTGACAGGCCTTTGGCTTCATGCAATGAGTTGCTCTCTATTGGTGAGCTTGGCTTCCCTTGTTTGTCTGATCATTTTGCCTCTAATTTTTTGTGAGTGGTGTATATGTCTTTTGCGTTTGTTTGTTCTTGAACATGAATAGATTTGCTTTACCTTGATTAAGTTGAATTTCTGAAAACTAAAAGTAGATTCTTCTTTTCTGCAGTGAAGGGAAAACCATCCAAAACTATAGTGGATTCATTGGCACTATTTGGGGTCAGTTAAATAACTTATCTTCTTTGTTTTCCTGTAAGAGAGTATTTGTTTCTTCACTTTGGCTTTTCAACTTGTCAAATCATTGCTTAGGTAAACTCCTTAGCTCAGTACAATACTCTTCTAAGTTCTAAGTGAGGCATTTATTAGGTGACATTCAATATGTAATCAAGCTTTCTACGTTACCTGTATGTTCAAGTGGTGATATGTAGGGCATTACTTACATTAAGAAGTCGCAATACCACAAGTCTGTAACTAGACTTGTGATATGAAGCAGAATCTGGGCTTGGAAGAAGAGGGGCAGAAGCCCCCGTGGGTTTACCGAAGGCGGGACGGGCTTGAGCCCACCTTCGTGGGCTGGTTGCGGGCTGTTTAATTAATATTTATTATTCCTTTTATTTTGTTTCCTAATTTAATTTGTTTCCTAGTAGGATTTATTTAGGACTTCTATTCTTATTAGAATTAGAGGTTTCCTATTTCTATTTAGTTTCCTAGAATGATTTAATTAGGAGTTCTATTAGAACTTAGAGGTTTCCTATTCTATTTAGTTTCCTAGATTAATTTAATTAGGATTCCTATTCTTATTAGACCTAGAGGGTTATTTATACCCCTTGTATGCTTCATTCTTGAGAATCTGGGGAATAAAAGTGGTTTAGCCTTTTGGCTCTGGGCAACGGTCGGACCAATTGATAAGAATAGAAAAAATAAAATCAACGGGGTGAACCGTTGCCCGATAATCAACGATAAATAAATACCGTTGCCCAGAGCCAAAAGGCTAAACCACTTTTATTCCCCAGATTCTCAAGAATGAAGCATACAAGGGGTATAAATAACCCTCTAGGTCTAATAAGAATAGGAATCCTAATTAAATTAATCTAGGAAACTAAATAGAATAGGAAACCTCTAAGTTCTAATAGAACTCCTAATTAAATCATTCTAGGAAACTAAATAGAAATAGGAAACCTCTAATTCTAATAAGAATAGAAGTCCTAAATAAATCCTACTAGGAAACAAATTAAATTAGGAAACAAAATAAAAGGAATAATAAATATTAATTAAACAGCCCGCAACCAGCCCACGAAGGTGGGCTCAAGCCCGTCCCGCCTTCGGTAAACCCACGGGGGCTTCTGCCCCTCTTCTTCCAAGCCCAGATTCTGCTTCATATCAATTCCATCCTCCTTCAAAAAAACCTTGTCCTCAAGGTTGAAATCCGGAAACTGGCTGACATTTGTTCCCGATGGCTGCCCAGTATCTTTAGGAAAAATTGAGATGTACTTCTCCACAGTCCCTGTCTGCTTGCCTCCGGACAGCCGTTCAAAGAAATTGCCCTTAAACTGTGAGTCAAAACGAGCCACCAATGCTTGTGTAAGCTCATCCCATGACATGCCCGGCTTTCGTGCCCATAACGAGGTCAACCGGTACAGGGCTGACCCTTCCATCACAACTACAGTGGCTGCCACCTTCTTTCCCGGCGGAGTACAGCTCAGTTCGATTTGATGCTCAACCCTAGCAACCCAACCGATCGGGTCTTCTCCGTCAAACGATGGCAGCGTCGTGAGAGAAGTGTTGCACAGTCCAGTTTCGAACGTGGATGTTGCTGTCGCGTCAAGTGAAGCCATCGCCGATGAATTCTCCGCCGCCGCTGGCGGCGCGAGAGCCTTTGTGAGCGCAGTCAAGGAGGAAGTGACGCTGTGCGGCTGTCCGTCGCTGCTGGGCGCAATTACGGTGGGGCTGCCAACCGCGTCAGGGCTTGTTTCCGTCGTGACTGACGGAACGAATGCCTTGGTAAGCGCTGCCAGGGATGCGGCGATCTCTGCCAGACGCACGCCGTGCTCCTCTAGGGTTTGATTCATCCGAATTTGCTTGGCCACCATCTCTGACAAATGTTCACTGATAGATCTCGTCATTCCGGCGAGACGGGATCCGGCATGTCGGACCAATTGATAAGAACAGAAAAAATAAAATCAACGGGGTGAACCGTTGCCCGATAATCAACGATAAATAAATACCGTTGCCCAGAGCCAAAAGGCTAAACCACTTTTATTCCCCAGATTCTCAAGAATGAAGCATACAAGGGGTATAAATAACCCTCTCGGTCTAATAAGAATAGGAATCCTAATTAAATTTATCTAGGAAACTAAATAGAATAGGAAACCTCTAAGTTCTAATAGAACTCCTAATTAAATCATTCTAGGAAACTAAATAGAAATAGGAAACCTCTAATTCTAATAAGAATAGAAGTCCTAAATAAATCCTACTAGGAAACAAATTAAATTAGGAAACAAAATAAAAGGAATAATAAATATTAATTAAACAACCCGCAACCAGCCCACGAAGGTGGGCTCAAGCCCGTCCCGCCTTCGGTAAACCCACGGGGGCTTCTGCCCCTCTTCTTCCAAGCCCAGATTCTGCTTCATATCAATTACGGGCTTGAGCCCACCTTCGTGGGCTGGTTGCGGGCTGTTTAATTAATATTTATTATTCCTTTTATTTTGTTTCCTAATTTAATTTGTTTCCTAGTAGGATTTATTTAGGACTTCTATTCTTATTAGAATTAGAGGTTTCCTATTTCTATTTAGTTTCCTAGAATGATTTAATTAGGAGTTCTATTAGAACTTAGAGGTTTCCTATTCTATTTAGTTTCCTAGATTAATTTAATTAGGATTCCTATTCTTATTAGACCTAGAGAGTTATTTATACCCCTTGTATGCTTCATTCTTGAGAATCTGGGGAATAAAAGTGGTTTAGCCTTTTGGCTCTGGGCAACGGTATTTATTTATCGTTGATTATCGGGCAACGGTTCACCCCGTTGATTTTATTTTTTCTGTTCTTATCAACTTGTGGTTCTCTTAAACCTTTCGTGTGCCTTTTCTTTTTTATTCGTTACTCACCTACTGTTGATCCGTTTAGTGCTTCCTTGGTTGCGGGATTTGGTAGGGGGAGTTGAGAATGGGATTTTCCTTCTAATTTATCCCTATTTGTTATTCTTCGATTACAAAATGACCATATATTTTGTTAGATAATGTATTAAGATATCATTTTTCATCTTAACTTTCACTGCGACCATATAATGCATGAATACATTAATAAAATAAGTATCACCCCTTCCCTTCAAAATTCATGGAACAAAAGGCCTAATTTGTAGTCTTCCTCATGCAGGCTGGAGCTATGTTGGGTGATGCTTTTCTTCACCAATTACCCCATGCTTTTGGTAATATATGGAAACAGATATTTCAGAATTCTTTTAACTTGGTGATGTGTGCATTCCATTTGCTATATGGAACAGTTGTTATAGTTTTTTTTTGGTACAGTTCAATTTGCGAGATAAAAAATATTACTAGTAGTATACATTTCACTTTATTGGTGCAAATTATGCATGCCCTATTATGTTTCGCGGCGTTTTTTTAAATATCAGAAGCACATCTACTTGAGATATTTCTTTTTGTAAACCTTTGTTTTAAGTACCACCAAAATGAAGGACATGGACCGTCCCAAGAAAATAGTGCTTCACTCAACAAAAATGGAGTGCTGTAATTTGAGTAGCAATGCATTGCCATTTTCAGGGGGAGATCACACCCATTCAGAAAGTCATATGGGCCATTCACATGATCACAGTCATTCTGGCCATTCTCATTCTCATTCATTGAAGGATCTTTCTATTGGATTATCCATATTGGGTAAGTTGCCATTGTGTTGCAAGTCTCGTTGTTGTGCATGTATATAGGTTTATGGTAAAATGAGAATGCTGACTTGAGCGAAACATGACAATTAAATGTGAACATTGGATCAAAGTGAACATATGACCTGAAAGAGCTTTTGTCATTTTGTAAATATTTACAAATAAAAGTGTAGTTCACAATGTATAACATAAAAAAACTGTGTTTTCTGTAGTGTTCTCTATTTGTCATTATTGAAAAGAGTTGACGTACAGATTTAATAGTAGAAAAGTGTTTGGTAGATATGTTTTGTTTTAAATATTACATGATTTAAGACTTGCCTTTCTATCTATGGTATACGGATGTTCTAAAATGCACTAGACGGGTGGCAGACTGATATTAATGATCCAAAGCAAAGATGGATCCTGCTCTGATATTTTTCTAGTATTATAGAAGTCATCATCATTACCCCAGTGCAGCAAAGTATATACTTCTAGTATTATAGAAGTATAGAACAAAATTGCAGCAATGAACTACAATCTATAAATGCTTTTTACTGCAATGGCATTTTTTTTACTGGCACCTCTTATGGGCTGTTCAAATAAATACTGATATTCATGTAGGATGATGTGCCCAGTTTTTTAAAAAAAACTGTCATGATTTATATTGGTTTCACTGCAGCTGGAATTTTTCTTTTTCTTATTGTTGAGAAGCTTGTGAGGTATGTTGAAGAATGGTCTGGAGGATCTAATGCATGGGGTCATGGTCACCACCATCATCATCATAAACAAAGTAAGAAGCTGAAGGTTGATAATGATCTTAAGGGTCTCTCTCATGAGAAAACTGGAAGCTTACCACAAAACAAGGAATCTGGTGGAAGTGCAATTGATGGTCAGTCTGCCAAGATACTTGATGAGGAGGGACACAAAAATGCTGTTCTGCTGAAGGTAGAATGCTGATCCTGAATGCACTTAATTGTTTAGTCTCACTTTTCTATATCATCAAATTTTTATCCCAAGAGTCAATTTTGATCTTATTATTGAATTGAAAGTTACTTTTCACATTAGAAATGTTGGAATCTGGTTTCTTTTCACCTGCCTTGAGTGCCTTCATAAAGAAGCAGGTAATTGAAGCAAAAAAGAAAGATCATCATTGACCATTCTTGTTATGTTTCTTTGAATCATATCAAAGAATATTCCACTAGTGTGAGCCTGTTATGTGTCATATTCCAGTTATTACTATTTCTGCAGAGAAACACTGGTATTGATCGTGCTGAAATTAAAACTGATGGAGATGCTTCAAAAATCTCTAGAGACGATGGTAAAACCACTACAGAAGAAGAGCCTGTCAAATCACAGTCAAGTCTGGTATTTGGTTATCTCAACCTCGTCTCTGATGGTGTTGTAAGTATATTCTCCGCAATAAGTCATTTTTCAAGATTTTCTTCTATTGCAGAGCTTATAAATAAATAGGGAAAAGGTGCAACTAAGCCCATGTACTAACCAAAAAGGGTCAAATAAGCCCTTATTTAGGAGGCTCTATCCGATCGTCGCCATTTGGGGTGGTTCCCGGTGTAATGTTTTGATGAAAATTTTTGAGCATCTTATTCATTAAGTGTAGTTTCCTCATGCCAAATTTCAGCAAAAACTTCAATTGGGAAGACATTCAAATGAATTCTCGAAGATAACTGCGCTTTTAACTGCGCAGTTATCTTCTAGAATTCATTTGAATGCCTTCCCGATCAAAGTTTTAGCTGAAATTTGGTATGAGTAAACTAGACTTAATAAATAAGATGCTCAAAAAAATTCATTAAAAAATTCTACCGGGAACCACCCCAAATGGCGACGGCCGTACAAAAGCTCCTAAATAAGGGCTTATTTGACCTTTTTTGGTTAGTACATGGGCCTATTTGCACCTTTTCCCTAAATAAATATGAGTACTCCAAAATCTGCTCCAAGTTACTCATAGATGATTTGATAATAATCTCTTACAGTCATAACTAAAACATAATCTTCGAAAACATGCCAAATGCGTGATCATTTAATGTATAATCTCAACTAATTTGACAAAATTAGAACTTTACCAAATGGAGTTGGTACCTTTACTGAAGCTATTCATCTAATTTAACTTGATCAATTATTTGTTTTGTAAAATTTGTGGTTGGCAGCATAATTTTACTGATGGGATGGCATTAGGTAGTGCTTTCCTGCTCTATGGATCTGTTGGTGGGTGGTCTAGAACGTTGTTTCTGCTTGCTCACGAGCTTCCTCAGGAGGTCCTCTCTCTCTCTCTCTCTCTCTCTCTCTCTCTCTCTCTCTCTCTCTCTCTCTCTCTCTCTCTCTCTCTCTCTCTCTCTCTCTCTCTCTCTCTCTCTCTCTCTCTCACACACACACACACAGATAACTTGGTAAATATATAGCAGCATTTTATTATTGCTGAAATGCTGATACTTGGATTGGGTTCGCGTATGCAGATAGGTGACTTTGGAATCTTAGTGAGGTCGGGTTTCAGTGTTTCCAAAGCGTTGTTTTTCAACTTCTTATCTGCACTTGTGGCACTCGCTGGAACTGCACTGGTTTGTGTGTTATGTCTACTTGTGTGCTCTAGTCATGCTTTTGGTTTGGATTAATTCGGACTAGGTATTCGTAGATATGTCCACAAATCCTGGTTCAACACTGAACCAAACCCGTCGGTTTCATAGCCGGAATCACAAACTGGTAGAGGGTGCGGTTAGGAACCATTAGGTTCCCAGTTGTAGCTTCAAAAATTTGGAAGTGGAAATTGAATGTTGGAAAAGTGTTCCTTGAAGGCTTGAACCAGGGTTAGACCTGATCTTTTATACAGATCTTGTCATGCCTATCTTTTAGAACTGGGAACCTTCTATGCTCTAACCTGAGAATGAGGTTCCAGGGATCATTCCTTGAACCTTCATTCAATTTTGAACCATGGCCATGTCTATGTGCTAGGCTTTAGTTTTATGTATGTCGGACACTCAACATTTTCTACAACAATGGTGGATGGTAGAGGCTTTGTTTGGGAGGGTTTTTTTGGAGGAGAGGAGAGGCTTAATTAGATAATGGATTTTCCCTCTATATGTAAATCACTAAATCCTCTCTTGCCTTCTTTCTAAAATTTGCAAGACCGACCAAACGAGGTGAACGAATTTCCTTTCATTTCCACTCCCTCCTTTCATTCAAAAAGAAACTGAAAAGTGGTTTTATTTTCCATACATCCTAATAGGCATTGGTGCTTGGTCAAGATCCCGGGCAATCTTCGCTGATTGAGGTAATTCCTATTATTATGTTACACCAAATTGAAAAGTGAATTCATAATTGTTTAAATTTATTAACAGGGATTTACGGCTGGCGGGTTTATTTACGTTGCGATTGCGGGAGTTTTAGCCGAAACGAACAGCAGTGGGTCCCCATCATCGGTAAAGAGTACAGCTGTTCAACTAGTCTCTCTGGTGTTAGGCATGTCAGTTGCTCTTACAATTTCCTTAGTTGAATGATGTATGCTCGCTTCGCCATCCCCCATCCCAGTCTCAACAGATTTTGCAAGTTAATGGAGGATGCTCCTGTTAGTGAATCTTGTTCTATGTTATTTAGGAGTTTGTAATCGTAATATATGTCAATTATTTTATATAAACTTTGAATATATATAGAAAGTGCAGTAATGAGATTGACACTTCAACAAACGTGTGAATGATGCACTTTTGGACTTTTGGTCCATTATGGCATCACATTGCATTTTCTTTGTTACGAGTACACTTCGGGTTGAATTTAAATTCATTTACAAAAATGATACGTCATTATATCAATAGTGTGGCGTAGGTGTGTGTATTAGAAAGTTTGAAACGGCATGTTATTATTAAATTAAATGTATTGTTTACTTCTGAGTTGTGAACGTAAGTAACGATTGGCCCTTCGAGATCAAGAGGTTTGAATTTAATACTCCGTATTCCACGTGTTTTGGTTTCAATTATCACCGGAGCCCGGAGGGTCTAGTAGTTGATGTCATTAGAAATCGTGGGAGGAATCGTGGGAGGAAGACGATTATTAAATTAGTAATTTCAATTTTCAAAAGAAATGAAAATATAAGACCTCCAAAACAATTTTTTTAGATGTTTTGACTCTAGATTATTCTTTTAAAAAACTATTGCTGCAATATCACGTAATAGGTAGGGCCGTAGGGGTGGACTCAAGTCGGACCGCCCAGCCAGGTATTGTTTGGGCCTGGCCCGGACAAGTTGGCCGGTCTTCGGGCCGGTTCGGGTCTACTGAACCGCTCAATTCCCGGGGCTGACTCCTAAAAGTGGAACCGGCCCGGCCGGTCCGGGCCCAGTTCGAGCCAATTTTTTTTGTTTTTCATTTTTTTTTTTCTACCGGGTTGGGCTGTGTGTTTTGGGGGAGTGAAGGGGGTCGGGGGTTAATTACAAAAGCCCGGGCCGGTTCCGGTTCACCCTTTCCAGAAAAAAAGCCCGGCCGGGCCCAGGCCCGAACCAGAACCGGCCCAGGTCCATCCCTAGTAATAGGTGAACTTTCCTAAAATTTTACTATCATACGCTCACATTACTAAGTTTTAATGTGAGACTGACAGTATCAACAATTCAACACCACAATTAGCAGTATTTTAAAAAGATAACAACAATTACACTTATTTTCAAAAAAAAAAAAAAACAATTACACTTATTTACAAAATAAAATCACATGGCTCCCTTTGATTACTAGACTAGTAAAATGACAAATTTTAACGAAAAGGAAAGAGTAAAGCCAAAAAACACATGAAGGCGACGGCTGTTATCTTTTCCGGGAGACAGGAACGAAATGGTTCACGCAACGACAAAAGGGTAAAAGCTGAATCCAGTCAAAGAAATTATTAGTACAAATTTCTAAGGACACCCCATTCCCATCACCACCTACATACAACACAACAGGCTACATCCCAAAAGGTCAAAGGAATATCATCATTCTCATTTGTATTCTATTCCCATACTCAACACTTGATTCTTCCCTAGCTACTACTACAAGTAATTAATTCATATGCTACCCACCACTTTTCATATCAAATTCATGTGCAAGTTGGCCATCTTCCCCTCCCTATATTCACATCCTACATTAGTGGGGCCCATCTGGAAAGTTAACCTCTATCATACCCTGCAAAACACATTTACAACAAGCAACAACAAACTCATTATTTCTTTACTTCAAGAAAATGACTCTTTGGTTCCTAACTTATATAGGAAATTAGTACATTTAGTTCCTCGCAATCATTATTAGTGTTAACTACTTTTAGTTCTTAAACAATATTACACTATAAGGTGGTCATTTTGGTCCCTTGTATATCACTATTTCAATTCTTGATTTTTTACTGTGTTTTATACCATGCATGTTTATGTATTTATTCTCATATCTTCTTGAAAACAGAATTTCCTTTTTCTTCAAAATACAACCCATATGATTGATTCCCATGAAATAAAATACGGAGTAATAAGCTACAAGGGATGAAAGTAAAAATTTCATAGAAATTCAAGTTATTTGTCTAAAAGATATACTATCTTAGTCTTATTTAATCACATTTTATGATATTATTTACTCTTGGTCAAATTAATTATCCTCTGATAATATATAAGTTAGTGTCAGTAATTATGATTTACATATTTAGAAACTATACTAAAAGTTAAACACCGAATTACATATGGTGAAATTGTGGTAAACAAACTTTGAGACAAAAAGAAAAACATAGTTGATCACATAGTATAGTACTCCCACCATTCCAATTTACTTGACCCAATTGATGAGTTTTAGGATGTTACATAGTTAAGAAAGTGTTTAATTAAGTGAAAGAAGAGACCTTTTATGTGAAGAATGAAGATTTAGTTTCCACTTTCCTTCCACTTTCCAGTCGGAGGAATTTTAGCTTAATGGGTTGGTGTTGCTTTATTGCGTAAGCTCATACTACGTATATAACAAATATTATAAAACTACTCAAAAAGGTTAGTGGGAAGTATATTGGAACGGGTGAAGTACTACAAAGCTTATTTTGGAGCAAAGGTCTCTTTTTTAGGATTTTATCCTTTTTGTAGCTTCAATTTTAGAAAAAGGAAATAATTTTGATTATGAAACAAAATTTTCTTCTAATGAGTAATTGAAATCACCATTTATTTGGGGACAAAAAGCCAAAAAGGGACTACAACTACCGTTTCCATTTACCTAAGGGACCAAAAGTGCACTTTTTTATTGCAGCCATACTATGGTGAAAGCATTAATAATGGGTTTATCATAATTGCATTTACATACCGGCTCGGATTGAACCATTCATGTTTGAAGGGGAGACTCGGGTTCTGAACCAGAAACTGATGAAAAAGATGTCATGTCCTCCTTTGCTATCGCCACGAAATTCAGCGGGACCGTTGAGAGCCTCCTGAAATATCTGTCCTGTCTCCCGGAATACGAGCGTGGTGTTGACATCTGGTCGGGAGTTTGATAGCCAGCGGAGCTCCTCCGTGGTGATGGGGTTGCTGCTGCTCCATTAAGAGTAGTATGGAGTCCTCCATTTGTTGTCTTCCTATAGCTATTGCTTCTTGGGCTAGGTTTTGAACCATAGAGTGCTTCCTTTTCTGTGAGCAGTAGATCAAGCGCTTTCTTTTGGTCCTGCAAATATGAGATGGTATAAGGTGAACTCTGAGTAATGTTTGGCGAAGAAAAATCAACATTGATTATTTTTATCTTTTAAAAGGAATATTTTTTCTTCTTCGAAAAAGAAAATATTTTTAATAAACTCTTTATTAAATCCAGGCTTAAAATGTTTTTAGTCCCTTCAAATATACAACTTTTATTTTAGCACAGGTTTCAAATTATTAAGAGCTCTATAGAATTAAAATTGATCTATAATTGATTTAAAGTTGATCTATAGTAAAAAGTAAAAACAAGGCAACAATCATGAGTTATGTTGTTTCCAAATGGATATGAAGGAGTCGAAGAGAGACTAAAAAGCGTAATCACAAGGACAAAAAGAAAAAATAGTCAAATACGGAGTATTTTAGGGTCCTAAAACAACACAAAACAAAAATAATCATAAGAACCAAATACTTATTTAAGCCATATATTTGATATATGATCCGTGAAGGCACTTTCAAGGAAATTTATCAATAAAAATGCTTTAAAAAAATGAAATTCATGTTTCCTTGGTGTTATGTCTCCATCATTCAAGTGCTACATTGATAACTTTGTCATTAAAAATATTCTATTCAGAATAACTTGTTTTTTGGTCCTGAATTTAAAAAATCTTCAAGTGTAAGGGAAAATGTCGAATCTGTTTGCAGTAAACAACCAAGCGATTTGAAATAAACAGAAGTAAACATTACCCTTGCACGTCTTTTCTCTACTTCTTTCTGTTGACGGGTCATTTTATAATCTTGCAATACTGACACCAAACGTGCCTAACAAAAACAGAAGTCAGGCAGTGATCACTCCACCTGCGGTCTGAGGAAGAAAAAAAAGATGATTGAGAGATTCTAAACAGCAGGAAGCTCACCCCATCATAAAGAAAAAACTTCTTCGCATGATCTTCCCATGCATGGGTCTTGCTAATCAGACTGTCAACCATACCTGAAACATAAAGAGCTCATAAGCTCACCTGATCTCGAAGAACAATTAACGGCTTTAATTTTTGTCGGTGCAAATACAGCTTCGTTTTGTTTTAGGCCCTGTAATTTTATTATTATTGTTACTATTACTAGTGTTGCAGTGTTGCTGTTAGTGTTGTTAAGTGATTTAACCTCTCTGTAAGTCTTAAGTGTTCCGCAACGAATGTGTGATTAGATATATATATCAAGTACATCTTACATCTTTGCTAAATACATCTTTCATTTGTTTAGCCCCAAAATTGTTCAGACATAATTAAGGGGAGCCTATTTAGGTTAAGGTTTTTTCTCATTTGAACTTAATTACGTGTTAGGAGCCCAACATTGGATGTTTACCAGATTTGTGGCTAATATGTAAGTGTGAGAAAAACTATATGAACAGAATTGGAGAAAGTAGAATACATTTTTATGGGGACTAAATCTAAAAAGCGCTAATTTTGATGAGTGAGAAAAAATAGCCAAGGAGAAACATATCAGGATAGATTACCTGGGATCTTATTTACCGTGATTCGAGCACGTTCAGCCCGCTTTAAGTTTATGTGAGCACCTCGTCCACCACTGTAACGGCTATGGTCCTGATGATAATGGCTCACAACAGAAATTAGCATATTGAAACTTTCCACCGTTATTGATAAAACAAAAAATAAACAGATAATAGACTACATGTGCACAATAGTCCTACATGGTTATAGTCTTCCAGCCAGGTTTCCTCTTCACAGGCAGATAGCCACCGTTCAATCCTGTCCGTAATTTCTTTTCGGCTCAAAGCTTCAGCCTTAGCTTTGTGAATTTGGGATTCGATGTTCACCAACAGCTCGCAAGGATCCACAAGACCTTTTGTATCCATCCATTACACAAACACAGATGATCATCATTAGTCTTATATAAACGTTAAGTTAATAGTCCAGAATAGGGGTTTAGGGGAATCTACTAACCAGAGTCAATCATTGCACATGATTTATCTCTAGCAGTGCTTGGGTCAGGCTCAATATGGCTCTTGTTGCATATATCCTCCAACTCCAATCTCTTTTTAATAACCAACTCTTTCATTCTGCTTGCCTTTAGTTCAGTCAACCTCTCAACTTCCAATGATACCTATAATTATGTATATTCAGAGAGAGAGAAGGATTTCACAGTCCGATAATTTTTGTTGAGATATACTGTAATAGAAAGACAATTTTATTGTTGGAATGTCTGATGTAGTGATGTGGTTCAGGGTCGGTCCATATATCTGTTTGGAACTCATTAAA